CTTCTTTGGTGTCGGGGGGTGAATGGCGTCCCACCCCATTGGGGAGTCCTTGGAGGAATTGTGCCCCATCATGATGTTCATGGGGAACCCCTTCTTTGGTGTCATATATAGGAATTGTGTCCCATTGCTGGTGTCATTAGGAGGAATTGTTGCCCCATAAAATAGTTTTCAGTGGATAAATAAATGCCCCAAGAACTGAATAAAAAGCAAGCAAAAGGCCGCATCTGGCAGCCAAGTCCCGCAGTATGGAGAATGGCTAGATGATGCTGGACGTCCTCACGCCAGTGAAATGAGCGGCTCCATTTGACTTTCAGCTTCTAATGCACACTGTGAAAAATGACACAATGCAGCTTAACGAGAGGTCAGCTCTTACTGCTATCAGCATGGCCCCATTGAACTATACTACCCAAGAGCCCATTCCCTGCAGGCAAGCTCCCCTGGGAGTCCCCTGCATCAGCATTGTTGTTTTTCTAAAAAGAAATCAATTATGTATGTTGGAGAGGGACAGAGAGGGGTGTGGGGTGACAACACTTCTTAACATTTCATGCACTAACGGCACTGTGTTGTCAGCTCAAACAGGAAGATAGGAGCTCACTGGATTTCTGGCAGATCATCAGATATTTTCTGCTGTCCATGCAGCATTTGAAAAGAACCAAACAGGAAACATGCCTGAATTGCGAGATCTACTGATGTGTTTTTATTGTATTTTATTTTGCTTTGCTATATAATACAATTTTACCTCACTTGAGTCCCTCGGCACCTTTTAAAAAAAAAAAAGACACCGGGATCAGGGGTGGACTGACAACTCATGGGGCCCCCGGGCAATAGGGATCATGGGGGCCCCATGTGTCCTTGCCCCAAACTCAAAAAAGCCTATGAAAAAGGTACCACAGGGGCATCTCGAATGGGTCCCCCTACTGACCCCGGGCCCTTGGGCAGTGCCCAAGTTTCCAAATGGTCAGTCCACCCCTGCGCAGAAGCAGGAGGAATGGCTCTAAGGATAATTGGCTGATTCGCATGAAGGTGCAGAAGTCTGCCGTACCATTGAACCCAATCCCATAGGAGGACTGCTGAAGCGTACACTCATGTTCAATGAATAGTTCGGGGTCCTAGTTTTCAGTGCGTGTTCAGACTCTAAGATTCGCCAAACAAAGAAGCAGATCCAAAAAAAAAAAAGTGTTACTAAACCCACAACAGTACAATCAGTCTGTATATGCAGTAAATCATGCTTGTTATACTCACTGTGGAACCTAAGGGGTTAATCCTCTGCATTGTATGAAAATGATGTTCAATCCTGTTTTCTCTGATCCTCCCCTTATTCTACTGTCCCCAATCCATCTGCTGATAGAACAGAGCCTTGGGTGCGAGCTGCACATGCTCAGTTTGGTGTGTATTGCTAGAGAGTTTTTTTTTTCTTTCTTTCGGAGGGTGTATGTGATCAGCACAGGGCCAATCAGCGCTGTCCAGACAAAGGGTCACGGGTTCTGCAGCCTCATAGGACAGTCAAAGCAGAATGAAAACTGCTCCTATGAACTTTAACCAGTGCTCTGCTGGACACTGATAGAAGTCACAAGCCTGCTCTAACTACTGATGAGAAAAGGTATTTAGCAGTTTATATTTACTAAAATAATTGCATTTCCATGTTCTGTGTTCTGTGAGAGACCAGGTATAGTGAATGCAGGGGTCCGGGGAGACCAGGTATAGTGAATGCAGGGTCCGGGGAGAACAGATATAGTGAATGCAGGGTCCGGGGAGACCAAATATAGTGAATGCAGGGTCCGGGAAAACCGGATATAGTGAATGCGGGTTCCAGGGAGACCGGATATAGTGAATGCAGGGTCCTGGGAGACCAGATATAGTGAATGCAGGGTCCGGGGAGACCAGATATAGTGAATGCAGGGTCCGGGGAGACTAGATATAGTGAATGCGGGTTCCAGGGAGACCGGATATAGTGAATGCAGGGTCCTGGCAGACCAGATATAGTGAATGCAGGGTCCTGGGAGACCAGATATAGTGAATGCAGGGTACAGGGAGACCAGATATAGTGAATGTAGGGTCCGGGGAGACCAGATATAGTGAATGCAGGGTCCAGGGAGACCAGATATAGTGAATGTAGGGTCCGGGGAGACCAGATATAGTGAATGCGGGGTCCGGGGAGATCAGATATAGTGAATGCAGGGTCCGGGGAGACCAGATATAGTGAATGCATGGTCCGGGGAGACCGGATATAGTGAATGCAGGGTCCTGGGAGACCAGATATAGTGAATGCAGGGTCCAGGGAGACCAGATATAGTGAATGTAGGGTCCGGGGAGACCAGATATAATGAATGCACGGTCCAGGGAGACCAGATATAGTGAATGTAGGGTCCGGGGAGACCAGATATAGTGAATGCGGGGTCCGGGGAGATCAGATATAGTGAATGCAGGGTCCGGGAGACCAGATATAGTGAATGCATGGTCCGGGGAGACCGGATATAGTGAATGCAGGGTCCGGGGAGACCGGATATAGTGAATGCAGGGTCCTGGGTTTAGTAACACTTTACTGTCTATTCTAACCATCAACCAAAGCAATCTGAAAATTAAAAAAAGAGGAAGTATTTTTTTTATAAAATGTGTTCCTAATAACTCCCCTATTAATTAGTTTACCCTAATGCAGGCCATACATGGTTCGAATGCCGAATGATTTTTCATCCCAAAATCGAAACGTCGTACATTCTGTAATCCGATGGTGCCACCAATGATTATGAAAATTGGTTGTTTTTCACGAAATTTTCCAGTATGCCCAATAAACGAAATGGGGAGGAACCACAAAAATCGGCCGATGCCATTGCCCCACTAACAGAGCGAAAATCGGCAGATTATTCTTAGGTCCGATTTTCGTACGACAATCGTTCGGAATTCAAACCATGTATGGCCTGCATAAGAAGCCCTTATTAACACATTCTTCCCCTTTTTACCCTAACTACTATTTCAATGAATTTCTATTTTTTTATAACTTTTATAAATGTTCAAACTTTTTTTCCTTTTAATTGATTTTTTTTTTTAAGTGTGGCATTATAAAAAAGAAAAATTTTAAAAAAATATATACATTATTTGTAAACAACATTGCAATACTTTGTATCAGATTTATTCAAATTGTATTGCAATTTTAAGCATAGGCAGAATTAATTATAAAATAAAATATATACCCTTTATCTAGAGTACCATTTTTACTAATACTATCAGTAAAAGAATTGTGTGTTCATTTTAGTTTTGTTACTTTTTTGTCTATGAAATGCCTGAAAAATAAAATAATTTTTTTGAGATAGTATAGTAAAAAATAAATAGTAAAACAGAATAAAACATAGAATATATTATGAAATAAAATGTATATTTTTTTATCTACAGTGATAATATTTCTTTCACTAACACTTTCAGAAAAAGAAGTGTTTTTTGTTTTTGTTTTTTTTTTTCTCATAGTTTTTGTTACTTTTGTTTTGCTATGGAATGTTTAAATAAAAATATAAAAATACATTATAAAAATAAAAGGTATACTTTTAAGCTACAGTAACAATATTTTTTTTAACTAACATTATCAGTAAAGAATTTTTTTAAGGCCGGTTTCATATTTGTCGCACTGCATTTTGGCCGCAGTTTGGATGTATGTATGGTTTATGTTCGCTTCACACGAGTTTTTAGTTGCAGCCCGTCAACTTCTATTAGGTTGTGCATTTCTGCATTTTCAAAAAGCACAGCAAAAGTCTTGCATGCCACATCTTGGGTGCACTTTCAGAAAACAAGACAAAAACACTCATCTTAGTAGTCAATGGGACAGTGGCTAAAAACGCATGTAAAATGGACTGAAACTGCGCGTATGGACAAAACGCAGTGCACTAATGTGAACCGGTCCTTCCTTTATTTTTGTCTATGAAATGCAATAAAAATAAAATAATTTCTCATCAATCAGCAAAAAAAAAAAACAAGCAAACTATATTATATAAATAAACATAGACAGTATGTATATATATGATAAATATAATAATAATAATAAATAAAATATATATACTGTTAAAAAAATTAAAGGACCACTTTTTAATCAGAGTATAGCATCAAGTCAATGAAACTCCTGGGATATTGATCTGGCCAGGTAAGTAGCAGAGGGGGTTGTTAATCAGTTTCAGCTGCTTTGGTGTTAATGAAATTAACAACAGGTGCACTACATGGGCAACAATGAAACGACCCCTAAAACAGGAATGGTTTTGCAGGTGGAGGCCACGGACATTTTTTTCCCTACTCATCTTTTCTGACTGTTTTTCCACTAGATTTGCACTTGGCTAGGGTCAGTGTCACTACTGGTAGCATGAGGCCATACCTGGACCCTACAGAGGTTGCACAGGCAGTCCAACTACTCCAGGATGGCACATCAATACGTACCATTGACAGAAGGTTTGCTGTGTCTCCCAGCATAGTCTCAAGAGCATGGAGGAGATTCCAGGAGACAGGCAGTTACTCTAGGAGAGCTGGACAGGGCCATAGAAATTCCTTAACCCATCAGCAGGACCGGTATCTGCTCCTTTGTGCAAGGAGCAACAGGATGAGCACTGCCAGAGCCCTACAAAATGACCTCCAGCAGGCCACTGGTGTGAATGTCTCTGACCAAACAATCAGAAACAGACTTCATGAGGGTGGCCTGAGGGCCCAACGTCCTCTAGTGGGCCCTGTGCTCACTGCCCGGCACCATAGAGCTGGATTGGCATTTGCCATTGAACACCAGAATTGGCAGGTCCACCACTGGCTCCCTGTGCTTTTCACAGATGAGAGCAGGTTCACCCTGAGCACATGTGACAGACGTGAAAGGGTCTGGAGGAGCCGTGGAGAACGTTATGTTGCCTGTAACATCGTTCAGCATGACCGTTTTGGTGGTGGGTCAGTGATGGTCTGGGGAGGCATATCCATGGAGGGACGCACAGACCTCTACAGGCTAGACAATGGTACCCTGACTGCCATTAGGTATTGGGATGAAATCCTTGGACCCATTGTCAGACCCTACACTGGTGCAGTGGATCCTGAGTTCCTCCTGCTGCACGACAATACCCGGCCTCATGTGGTGAGAGTATGCAGGCAGTTCCTGGAGGATGAAGGAATTGATACCATTGAATGGCCCCCATGCTCCCTGACCTAAATCCAATAGAACACCTCTGGGATATCATGTTTCGGTCCAGCTGACGCCACCAGGTTGCACCTCAGACTGTCCAGGAGCTCAGTGATGCCCTGGTCCAGATCTGGGAGGAAATACCCCAGGACACCATCCATCATCTCATTAGGAGTCTCCCCCGACATTGTCAGGCATGCATACAAGCACATGGGGGCCATACAAACTACTGAGGACCATTCTGAGTTGCTGCAATGAAATTTCAACAAAATGGACTCGCCTGCTGCATCATTTTTTCACTTTGATTTTTGGGGTGTCTTTGAATTCAGTCCTCTGTAGGTCGATCATTTTCATTTCCATCAAACGATGGGGCATCATTACTTTCCTAACACATCACCCAGTCCATATCAGTATAGAGATCCACCAGGAGATTTTTCCCCCATTGAGATCTGATGTGTTTTCAAAGTGTTCCTTTCATTTTTTTTTTCGAGCAGTGTATATATACACACAGCAATTATTCTTTTGTTCTTTTAAGTAATGACAACGTTATTTATGAATAAACAGGCCTGTAGCAGATAAAAATGTGTGTAAAAATGATTCTTCTCCATAGGGGGTGTACAGCTATGGGTGCAGAAGCGGTTAATTTTGCGATTTTCCTGCTACTGTCAGTGTAGTGGGCTGACGCGGCTGACTCATATAAACACTTCAGCTGTCACAACCTCTCAGCATTACCACAAATGAATCCTACTCCTACTTAGTGGCAGTGGCAACGCAAAGAACATAGTTCAAGCCTTTCATCGCCAAATGGGACCAACGATCAGTTTTCAAGGAAAAGCTGAAAAAAAAAGAAAACACTTAATATACCTAATGGAGCCCTACTGATGGGATTTGTCAAAGCAAAGTGCAATCGTACAGAAGGGAAAATAGCTACCTGTCATCCTGAAAAAGGTGAAGAAGTTTGCAGGTTATTGTACAGTTCAAGTTTCTGAACACCAGAGAGCAAGGTAAGCTAAGCTCATCATAGAGGCTGTTGGACTATTTCAGTAGGCTATGGGACTACTATGTGAGGTTGTAGGGCTATTGTAGCAAGCCATGAAACTATTGTGGGAAGCTACACTATATTGCCAAAGTATTGGGCCCACTTCTACTGGATTCAGGTGTTCCAATCACCTCCAGGGCCACAGGTGTATACAATCAAGCCCCTAGGCATGCAGACTGCTTCTACAAACATTAGTGAAAGAATGGGTCGCTCTCAGGAGCTCAGTGACTCCAAGCGTGGTCCCGTGATAGGTGGTCACCTGTGCAATAAGTCCATCTGTGACATTTCCTGGCTACTAAATATTCCACGCTCAACTGTTAGTGGGATTATAACAAAGTGGAAGCAACTGGTAACAGCAGCAACTCAGCCACCAAGTGGTGGGCCACGTAAAATGACAGAGCGGGATCAGCGCATGCTGAAGCGCACAGTGCGCAGAAGTCACCAACTGTCTGTCAATAATGAAGGACCTCCAAACTTCATGTGGCCTTCAGATTAGCACAACAACAGTGCGTAGAGAACTTCATGGAATGGGTTTCCATGGCCGAGAAGCTACATCCAAGCCTTACATCACCAAGTGCAGTGCAAAGCGTTTGATGCTGTGGTATAAAGCACGCCACCACTGGACTCTAGAGCAGTGAGGACATGTTCTCTGGAGTAATCATTCCTGCTTCTCTGACTGGCAATCCAATGGACATGTCTGGGTTTGGTGGTTGCCAAGAG